TGTAAATGTGCCTCATTAGATGATGTAATTTATCATTATTTACAATTACAATTACAGTCCATAGTTTGAAATACATGTCAATTACAATTACAATTGTAAGTCTGTCAGCAAGATAAGACTAAACTGCTGTTCAAAGACTTCTCCTGCAGCAAGGAAGGCTAGGAAAGCAAATATACAATCTTCTTCATTGACATAAAGGACTTTGATGACTTTAATGCAATGAGAAATGCATGCCTAGTTTCTGCTCAAAGCATGTGCAGCAACACTGAAGAAAGCAGATGTGCAATCTTCTCACTGCTTCTAACTACCTTCAAAGCTATCAGTAAGATAACTTTATTTTCTGCAGTTTTTCTTTAGTCTTGAAGTGATGAGAAACCTGTCAAAATCTACTCTACATGAAATTAGTCTTATAGTCAGTCATGCAAAATTGCTTTGCTTGGTCGTAGATCATACAGCACATATCTATACTGTGGCTTGCTTAGGCTCACCCCTTTAATGTATTACATTCTTCTAGTTATTGTTGTTGTTACTATAGGTCTTTGGATTGGGTAATAAAACATATGAACATTATTATGAGATGGGACGTTACGTTGATCAGAGATTAGAAGAATTAGGAGGAGAGAAAATATATGGGAGAGGAGAAGGAGATGATGATGGAAAGTAAGTGAAACATTCTATGAGGTTTAATAAGAGGAGAAGGAGGAGGACTCACATAGATAATACATACATGTACAATGTACAAATACTTATACCAGTGCTCTTGCATAAAATGTACAATTGTACATATTTCCTAGCTCTTGGCTTTCTATCTTTTTGCTTTCTCTCTCTCTTCCTTTCCTCTCTCCATCTTTCTCTGTAGTATAGTATTGAAGAGGATTTCATTACATGGAAGGAAGGTTTGTGGCCTGAGGTGATGCAGTATTTCAAAATAGATTCAAGTCAAGCAACAGCTGTTGGTAGAGAGTATGAGTTCAGTCTTCATACTGAGATATCAACTGATGAAGTATTTACTGGAGAACCAAACAGACTAGGATCATATAAGAACCAGAAAGTGTAAGAAACTCTCTCTTTTTCCTTTTTTTGTCCCTTGTCCTTTCTACATGTACATGTACATGTATATGCATATGCTGTACTACATGTACGTGTATATATGGGTATTTTAAGGTACTAGACAATATGTTTTAGTTCATTTTATTTCGCTGCTTGGAAAATCCATGGGAATTAAGCAAAATGGCACATACATGTACATGTACATGTACATGTATTTATGTATTAGTTGGTATACCTTACAGGCAGAATTAATGAATTATTGCTAGTTATGGGTTAATTATTATGGCTCCTTATGGGTTTTAGATTTTACATTGATGATTTAGCAGTCCATCAGTCATGAGCATGTTTAGAACGAAACAGAATGGCTGATTTTATGTTGGCAGTTGCTTACTGCAGCCACCAATCAAATAATACTGATTTCCAATTTCCAATGTTTCAAGAATTACACACCCGAATCAATGAGTTATAATACTGTATAGCGGTTTTTTAGGATAATAATTTTTGCTAATTACCTGTATTCGAAGGTTCGCAGAATTAATTTTTGCGAATTTCCAATATTTTGCCATCTTGAAATTAATTTTTAAGAAACTTAATTTCGCAAAATCTTA